TGTTTATCAGTGAAATACTTCAAGATTCAAACTTAAAAGAAACAAAATACGCCATTTGCCATTTGGACAACGTTTCATATTCAACACTTGTGTTTATAAAATAATGCTCTTTAATTTCGTCTCGGGCCATAAAACACACATGAAAAATTCTTGGCCAATATACCGATGTCTTGACTCCACGGTTATCTTAGTGTTACCTAATCTTCTAATAATAAACAGCAATCGAATAAAAATAAATCATTCACAGGACTACATCGATCAAAAGTATTATCGCGAGCAAATCTTGATGCGATCAAGAGAAGTGATGGTTTAGAAGTCTAGAAGGACCAAAACAAACAGCTTAACAGAAATTGCTCTTTATGGATATTGTGTCTGTGGCAGACCGGGACATTTCCGCGTTTACAGTTCACCGATATGGAACTTCTTTAAGGAGATATCGTGAATCTGATGTAGCAGTGAGAACATTACTGGTGAGCCCATTAGTTTGTGCTAACAAAATTCTCCACTGCATATTTCTACATTGATATCAATAGCGACCTCTGCTTTTCTACTTTGTGTGAGTTTGGATTAAGACGAGCCTTCCGTCCCTGAGTTGACCCAGTCCTTAATTCCCATAACTCACTTTCTTGAATTCATTATGGAAATATAGAGAGAAGTTACGAATTTATCAGTATCAATTATACTCGGCCTGTCATGCAGTGTCTATCAAGTCAAGGTTACGTTTGTAGGACATTGGAGATTACTCAGTTTTACAGATGAGCTGTTATTTTTATATTCTTTGACCACATATCAAGAAAGCCACGATCACGCAGATTTATTTAGTCCGTCCTTACAACTTTAGGAATATTGCTTCTCTTAATAAATATTGTTTTAAGAACGTATTCGATAGCATTGGCATTGGAGTTAACAGTATTTAGACACCGATGTTTTCAATAAAAACACAGGTTTTTCATTAGCAGACAAGCCGACAATCTTTAAATGTGAATTCCTGAAAACAATTTCGACATCCCGACAATATTTTATTTCATATCTACCGTAAGTGTGTGTCCAACGAAATTCCCCCCTAAAAACGTGAGTTTCTGCATTCAAGTCAAGTCACCTTTATTTAGGCAGGGTAGCCCCATCAGCCATAGGCTGGTATCAAAAGGGGCCCTGCGTAAAATTAAGACAACATGATATAAAATTCAGAATTTAAAAATTACCGCAAAGTCATGTACAAGGAGTTTTGAATAAAAAAAATGATTTGAATAAAAAGGAAATTACATTTCAAATTGCATTTCTGAAAGCAAGCTCGTCGTATTAAATGTACATCAAAGGGGCCGCATGTACAATGCTTTGCAGTCTTTACAGGACCGCGTTAGGTTTTTGCAGAAATATTGGATGTTGCACATTTCTTTCTATAAAGTATTTCAGAATTCAGGATCGCTTTTTCTGCCTTTTTTCTCGGCACTCTCTTCCCGCGTGCCCACTCATCTGAATATTACGCTATAATGAGCTCTCATACTTAGTGTGATATTCTCTTAGCCTTATATTGTCAAATGACGTCATGGTGGTATACTTAAAGGCAGTGATATCTTATTGAAAATTACAATTTGTCATTAGTCGACTCTTTTACAACGAGGTTGATTTCAGAGACCATAAGCAAGCAATATGGTTTATATCTTCCTAATTGCTTATCAAACATGAATGGCAATCTCAAGACAAGCCAAAACGCACAATACCAAATTTGAAAACAAATGTGGTGCATCAAGTCATCAGAAAAC